GCCTGTAGTCCCAGCACTTGGGAGGCAGACACAGGAGGATCTCTGTGAGTTCAAGGCCAGCCTGGTCTACATAATGAGTTCCAGGACAGCTGGGGCCACAGGGAGATCCTGCTTCAAAAAAAAGACCAAAAAAAAAAAAAAAAAATCCAGGTATTAAGCTGGAGGTATAGCTCTGTCATAGAGCACTTGCCTAGCATGCAGTAAGACCCTGAGTTCAATCCCTGGCATGGCAAGATAAATAAAATTCATGTGAAAAATAACACAATGTGAGGGAAGAGATCTTGGCACAGTGCCCACAGAAGGTAGGCTCCATGCTCTCCTCTGGCAGCAAGATTGGCAACAGGGAGAAAGAAAAAAAAAAGACAGGTCTCAAAGCACCATACCTCAGCCCAAACAGTCTCTCCCTATGCAGTTGAGTCCCCACCAGAACCACCACTCAGTGCTTTACAGACTTTCCAGCTTTATACAGCCCTGTCAGGAAACACCCTTGTACTTCCTACAGTGGCATTCCACCTGATACCGTACCTGCTGGCAGCTTGGGGATTTCTTTTCCATTGATGTCTTTAAAGTTTACAGAATACAAGTCTGTAGTTTTTTTTCTTTTCTTCTTCTTTTAATATAATGAGTGTATTGTCTACATGTATGTTAAATGTACCCATGTCATGCAAAGCCCGCAGAGCTCAGAAGAGTGTTGGATCCCCTGGAACTGGAATTACGGAGTTTTTAGCTGTCATGTGGGTGCTGGGAATCGAACCCAGGTCTTTTGCAAGAGCAGCCAGTGCTCTTAACCATCTCTCCAGCCCTCCAAGTCTATAGTACTAACATCATCTGTTAGAGGGGAAGAACTTAAAAAAAAAAACCTCATGATTCTCTCTCTTTTTTTTTTGTCTTTTTGAGACAGGGTCTCCCTGTAGCTCCGGCTGTCCTGGAACTCACTAGGTAGACCAGGCTGGCCTTGAACTTACAGAGATCCACCTGCCTCTGCCTGGGATTAAAGGCATGTGCCACCATGCCCCGTGTGCCACCACCCAGCTTCTATTTCTGCATATCATCTTTTATCAGAGACCAAGATTTAGTCACATTTATTCTCATGCATCTTTTTCCTCCTAGCAAATTAAAAGTAGTAAGTAGCCTATAGCAAAAGGGAAAATGAATGATTTTCATCGTTTGGACTTGTCACATCCAAAATGGAGGGATCAGTTCCCCAATGGGGACAAGGGAGGAGTAAATAGGGACTGCCCTGAGGCCAGCCGATTTGGAGAAACAGGCCTGAGCCACAGCCCCTGGAGGATGGTCTCTGTGCAGAGTATTTACACAACAGACACCAATGGCTCCTCTGCAGCCATTACTGTCTATCAGGTAAATAACACATGTGCCAAGACACACATTTAATGAGGGAAATAATATGCCTTTATAAAAAGACTCAATCTGTATTTACCTGAGAGACCAAAGAAGCACCAAATCACCAGATTAGTGGAACCACAGAGGAGTCGTTCTGGTGTCTTGGGTAAATAGACGTTTTATAGCCTCTATTACTAGAAGAAGGGAGGGCGGAGGGAGGGGGTCATCCTTCAAAATCCACATACACAGACTGGGGAGCCTCGGAGACAGAACAAGCTGAGGAGTTCATCAGGAAACATATGGTCTCCTCCCCACTCTACCTCTGTTGCCACACACACTTCTAATCTCTGGGAGTGTACAGGTTGATGCCATCACTAGATTCAATCCACACCATTAAACACCAGACTGAGCCGGGCATGATGGAGTATGCCTTTGATGCCAGCACTCAGGAGGCAGCGGCAGGTGGATCTCTGTGAGTTCAAGGCCAGCCTGGTCTACATAGCGAGTTTCAGGCCAGCTGGGGCTACAGGGAGACCCTGTCTCAAAAAGACCAAAAAAAAAAAAAAACAAAACTGGTATTAAACAAATCTATGTTCAAACACTACTCTATTACATATTATTGGTAACAATACTCTTACCTTTGGGTTCAGTCTAATCATACAATGTATATAAAGTGCTTTTCACAATAGCTCATGTACAATAAAAGGGAGCCACTATCATTAGCACACAAGAAAAAGGAGAAAAAAAAAAAACATTTTTTGAAAAAACATTATAAGCCAGGCACTGTGTTGATAAGTTACATATTCTGCCTCATTTAATCCTCTAACAATCAGGCAAAATAATAACAACAGTATTTCTGTCTTACCTAAGGAAATTAAGGCTCAGGGCACCCACTCTGATGGCTCTGCTTTTCTTTACCACATTGATGGCCCTCATTTCCCTATTTAGCTGATTTCACTATTTCACAGGGCTAATAATGCATATCATCTTCAATTGTTCTTTTAAGGTAAGAAGATTTAGCCAAAAATAACTCAACCTAAGCAGTAATTAAATTTACAAGGTTTTTTGTTGTTGGTGGTGGTTTTGGGGGTTTTTTTGGGGGGGGGTCTTTCTGAGACAGGGTCTCCCTGTAGCCCCAGCTGTCCTGGAACTCACTATGTAGACCAGGCTAGTCTTGAACCCAAGTGTTGGGATTAAAGGTGTGTGCCACCACGCCTGGCGTATACACTTTTATTTTTTTTAAAGAAAAATACATTCTAGCCTTGAGCATAAAGCAGAGACAGGAAGGGGTTGTTGGGGCTGCTTGGTATAGGGGTGCCTTGGACTAAAACAACTGTAGTTCAAGGAGCTCAAAACCTCTTCCCAAACACAATTCCAGAGGTGCAACTCCTTCCACCTTACAGAGTAAGAAACTCACAGGAGGTAGAGTTACAATCAGCTCTTGCTCAAGTCCCCAGATGTGGCATTTACATTTACAAAACCTTGGCAAATGCTACTCCTATTTTGGAAAACACTTCCACTTTCCCCAGGCAAATGATTACTCTTTAAAACCTAGCTAAATCTCCCCTTTCATCGGTTTCTCGGATACCCCAAGTTAATTGCTTAAGTATGACCCAACTGCACAGTTTATTCTTATTTCATGACTTTTATCTCACTATATGGTAAGACATTAAGTATCTGTTTCTCCTACTACTACCAGTTTTCAAAGATGGGGAAAAAGGAAGACAACAGCAGAGGCATGCATGTGCATGAGTTATAAAAATGCATATCTGGCAACTATTTTTTAAAATATTATGTTTGTGTTTGAATGTACTGTCTGCATGTGTTGTGCAATGCCCGTGGAGGACAGAAGAGGGCGTCAGATCCACTGGAAGTAGAGTTACAGACAGCTGTCAGCTGCCATGAGGGTGCTGGGAATTGAACCCAGGTCTTCTGCAAGAACAGCCAGTGCTCTTAACCACTGAGCCATCTCTCCAGTCCCAATAACTAATTTTGGGGGTCAGGCCCTTTGATGCATTTAAAATTTTCATTTAGCATGAAAGAAGAGGATGAGTTTTTCATCAAATGGTACATGACTTTTAGAAACCTGAGAAACACTGAGTTAGTTTCTTAAAGACTATGATCATATTTTATTCATTTCTTTACTCCCAGCACAGAACCAGGCAGAAATGAGTAAAGATTTGTTAAATGAAGTAGTTCACCTGAAGTCATGATACCAACTGCTCTAGAATTAGAACGTGCTAGAACAGAGCACGGCTCAAGTACCAAACAAAGCTTCTTTTCTTTCTTTCTCTTTCTGTCCATTCTGCAGAATACAACCCAACCCAGTCTGTGTATGGAGGGAGAATTGCCTTGGTGCTGGAATACTATTAAAAGGATTAATTTAGGGACCGGTGTTTGGACTGTCACATCCAATCACTACACACAGATCTACAGCTTCCCAAATCAGGCTCATGCAAAGAGGAATCAATTGCAAGGACACAGAGGGTCTGAACAGGCATACTAATGGCCTCCTGAGGTGCCAGCGGCCAGCTTTGACACTCCCATAAATTATCTGCCTTTTGATTTTACCTGTAGCTGTGGGGCACAAGGCACAATTTTGAACATATCAAAGCAATCTCTCCTAACCCAAGGCTCCCCAAGGAATGTCCTCCCACAGGAGAAGCTAAAAACAACAAACCAAAGGGAAATCTGTTTCCCAACAGGTTTGGTCCTCACAATCATCAATTAAAAACCAAATAGATAAAGCAGGACCCAAATGAAGCCCAGCAGATCTGGATGGGTCATGCACCAGACTGTGGCTCTGCAATGACTATACATCTCTCTCTCAAGGAAGGAAAAATCACAGCAATCAACTAACACAATTCCATCTGGAGGCAAGTCTGCATGAGCTTTCACAGTGCCTCACCCAATGACCTTCTTTGGCCCCAGTTTCCTTACCTGGGAACAAGGAAACCAATGCTGACTACTTGACCCATTTCCCAGAGCAATAGTGAAAACTAACAAAGAATATTCAAGAGGAACTTTACAAAGGTGTAGGGCCAGTAAGGTGGCCACACTAATAAATGACCCCAAACACAGAGGAAGGTCACACTGGTGAATTTGTATTGGTAAGCTGCTTACTCCATTCACTTTACTGAAAGTGATGAGGCTTTGAAACTCCTGCTGTGTGCAAATTTTCCATTGTGAAGGGCAGTGCCTTGCTTTAGTTGTAACTTCCTTCCTGTGTCCTGGCTAAGTTTCTATCATGCGGGCACAATGACAATTGTGCAGACTCAAAGCATACAAAGCTAAAGGTCATATCACCCAACTGCTGCCTGCTTTTTAAAATATTGTACAGAAAAGTAGTAGGAATTAAATGTGTTAAAGACACTGTGCTCAGAGCTTTACCTACATCATTAAAACCTTTAACCAACTCCTATCAAGTCCTACTGTTTCCATTTTACAGACAGCAAAACAAAGCTCAGAGGAGGAAAATCACTTACTTGTACAAGGTCAGAGAAACACTACTATCAGAACCTGTAGGACTCCCTTCACCACTGCAAATATACCACGGCTCACAAGAAGAGGAAGACAAAGGGAAAGAGTAGAAACAGGATTCTGAACTTCTCAACAAATACTTTATTTGGTCCCTGTGCCTGACACATATACCATCATACCTGAACTGGAAGCCATTTCCAAAATCAGGCAAAGGTCATCAGTCTGCCACAAACAAGAAAAGAAGAGCCTTCGTAGGACATCTAGAATAAGGACAACTGCCCAGAAAGTTGAGGAAAGTGGTCAGTTTCTGTGTATACAGTTCTAGACCCTCACCACACTTGATACTAAGGTATGAGCCTTAAAATCCCTTCCAGGGCTTCATTTGTTCCATATGTCCTTCAATAGAAAACAGTTCCCAAAACATTTTCATTCATCGAACACCAACATTCTCTTCCTCTATCTTCCCCAGTCTGTGAAATAGTAGCCGACATTTCCAAGAAATTCTTTGTTAAACAACTTTTAAGTGCCAGTAGACAGTCATGAAATTAGTAAAGGGAACTAATATAGACATGTATGCAGATTCAGTTGTATTAGTTTCCTCCTCAAGGACCAAAATACTGCCTCATACGGGGAATAGTGAAGCGCTTCCACAGAACTACCACAGCCTCCTTATGGCTCTGCTTGCAATTGGACCTGTCCCCTTTGACCCATTCTTCACACTGCTATCAAAGCAAGCTCTCTAAAACACAAGCCCAATGTAGGTTGAATGGTTATAGTCTTTTTTTTCCCTTTTTTTCTTTTTTTGTTTTGTTTTTTAAGATTGACTCGATGTGTAGCAGAAGCTGGCTTCAAACTAGTGATCCCTCTGCCTTAGCCTAGCAATTACAGCAGTGCATCCCCACACTGGGTTACTTATCTCTTAAGGGGCTTCTTACTGTTCTGAGATCAGAAAACTATGTGGTCCATGGGCCAAATCCAGCTGCCATTTGTTTTTATAAATAAAGTTTTGCTGGAACACAGACATGTTCATTCGCCTTCATATAGTCTACAGCTGCTGAAATGCAAAGCTATGTAGTGTAAGAGACCCACAACGCCTAAATATCCACTCTTATCCTGTACAGAAAAAGCTTGTCAACCTCCAATCTTCTCACCATCCTCCACTTCCCACCCCTACTCCACCATGTAACCCTAAGAGCCTCTAAGGCCCCAGCCTCTGTTTACCCTTACCTTCATTTCCCACCATATTCTCCTACCCCTGCCTTTTAATCACAGTGAATTTCCTCAAACTCAAACTTCTGACACTTGGTCCTTCATGTGTTTATCTAATTCTAGGTAAGGAGGAAACCACCCTGAAGTCTACAAGTCCAGGTTAAGGTCACCTCTGTACTCCTAAAGAAGCTCTATTTCCTGCACTTTAGCATGATAGGTATATCATAACTACCTCATGATAGGGTAGACTTCATTGATGTGGTCTCTCTTATGAATCTGAAAGCTTGTGGGTATCATGAGCAGTCTTGTTCATCACCATAATCCCAGCAACTAGCAAAGTCCTGGCCCTTAGTTAATGAACAAACAGCTTCCAAGTCCTTGAATATCAACGTCAAGAGTCTGCCTTTTTAGCCAGTTGTTCCCCCCTGCTCCCACCTCCCCCGCCTGTCCCACCCCCAACCCCCACTGGCCCCCAGATCCTGGCAAAATGGGGACTAACCATCCACTCAAAGGTGACACACAACCCAAATTAAAACAAAATCCCAATATATCTTGTGATATATTTGGTCAAATATATCACAAGAGCCAAATGAGATGTGGTCTCCTGTTGTATTAAGATGTGTATTCCACAAGATAAGGGGCTATTCTGGCTTTATTCAATTATCCTAAAGGCTAAGTACTCATGAGGTACCCATTAAAGAAATCATGTATAGGCATGGTGGTCTATGTCAATAATTCTAGCTACTACATAGGGAGGCTAAGGCAGGAAGACTGAAAGTCTAAGGCCAGTCTAAGTTAGTTAAGACCCAGTCTTAAAATATAAAGTAAAAAAAGAATGACTAGATATATAGTTCAGTGGTGGCACATTTACCTACATTGTACAAGGGTTCAATCCCCAGTACTGAGGAAAAAAGAAAAGGAAAAGAAATCGAAGGCAGAACTTGAGAATCTGGATTCCCCACCTCCAACTTTTATTTCAGTAGGTTTGAGCATATGCTACCTTATCACAAACTACAGAAAAAATGCAACCTGTACCAGCCTCCATCCCACACCCACCAAACCCAAACACTCAAACATCAAACTTGATCATGCAACAAGATTCTCACCTCTCCTTACTTCGAAGATGCCAAGACTGGCAGCTGGAGATGCTGAAGGTTCTGTGAGAGCTGGAAAGCCCCAATGCTGTGGACAAACACATTATCTCTGCAACAAGTCTATTTCAATTTAAAAGTTCAAATCCTCACTAAGAACTACATTATACCTCATGCTCATAAATCCAAACTTTGGAATACAGCTATCTTTGTGGAAAGACATTGGCCCTACACAGCTTTCAGGAGCTATTAATTAGTATTACACATATTATGAAATTACAGATTTCATGTCTCTACTAGCAGAGAATTGTTCTCCCTAAGAAGGTTTACCTTCTAGAAACCCCAAATATTCACATTATCTGAGCCTGGACTGAGAAAGATGGGCATGAGGTGGTGACTCACTGGATAATCTGAGAACCCTATCTAAACAAGAACTCAGGAAATGGGGCTGAGCCAGGACTGGAGGAAGGGGTTGATTGCCACAACCTACAGGCCATAATGCAAACTGAAACACAGACCAGGAAACACTTTGAAGATACAAGTCTACCTTAAATTCTAAGTCACATGCAGAAGGATAGCTTCAAATTCAAGGTCACTCAGGACTACACATGGAGACCATCTCTATTATATTTATCACCTATTCAGATCTCCTAAAAGCCCAGAAATTGCAGATGTGCTCTTATAAGGTACTGAAGCCCTTTGCACAAGCATGGATAATTGGAACCAACATAGCCCTGTCTACCATTCTATACTCAAGGCTTTATTCTGTTCAGATTCCCTGGGAAAAGGCCACTCACCAATTTATCCCACCACAGAGTGAACACTTATCAAATGAAATAGAATTAAAAGCACTTTTATCTGGAAGTTTCAAGTTGGAGGGAGAGCTCTTAGCCAAGCTCTATGACCTAGCTAGCTGATTATTTACAGGCTCTTTGGGCAGGAATTGTTAATGAGTTTTTAATTTGGAGTGCTTAAGTTGCCAAAGGGCTCTGAGCTCCAGTGAAGCACCACCAAATCCATAAAGGAAACCTTATCAATCACTTCGCAGCAGCAGCTCCCTTCCCCCATTCAGCACCACTGAAAGGCAGTCAAGTGGGTTTCTAACCAAGATCATGGCACACATTAGTGGAGTCACACTCCAAGTCACTGTTTATAAATTGGCTTTTAAATGTTAGAGGATTCAATTATAATATACTTAAGCTTCAAGAACAAGCTCACTAAAACAAGGTATACTGTGTATGACAGTGAGTATAAAGCAGAATTTGATGAAGCCAATTTCTGGTAGAAACTCTACAATCAAAAACCATTCAGCCAATCACAACCTACTATAATCAAATAGCATAAACAGTCTCTAGCCAATGGGATTCATGTTTGGCTGCCCTTACAGTAGGAAACGATGAAAATGTCTGACATAAGCAAATGCCATAGAAATGGCCAGAGACCTCCAGCAGAGATAATGGGTCACTAGTCATTGCAAAATCCATCCTAGGGACAAACTCCATAACCCCAATGACAGGCCCTATATCGAGCATCTTACAAGTCAACGCCAAGCAACTATATTTGTAAGAATTCAATCCACATCATGCTTTCTTTGTTTTAAGAAAACACCTGTTGCTGGATCATCAGCAATAAAGGCAAACAAAAAGCTACCCTGGTTAGGCCCTTTCTTCGCTGTGTCCATCATCACTATTACCTACAGCTTGTGACTTACAAAGTAAACTGCTAACCTTGTGTGTCCGTGTATCGGGATGGGGGAGCGGGTAGTCTATAATAACATATACTAATTCCTTAATCTCTTTGTAGCTTCTTTGGTCACACCTCTCTTCCTTTTCTCCAGTATTCTCAACTAAAAAGTCAGGCCCTGTTCCTCAACTCACCCAGGATGTCTCCCAAAGCCCGGCCCCGCTCCCGCTTCACCAGAGTTAGAACATGCATCCAGGGTGAGCACAAGGGCCACTACCCCAGGCTGCACAAAGTGTGCGCGCCACGACCCACTCCCCGCATGCATCAACCAGGGCCCAAGCTGGGGGCCCTTTCAGTCTCACCCACCCCAGGGTGTTGCCCCCAGCTCGGGCCCATCCAGGTCCAGGGGAGCGTAAGGGGAGGGGCAGGGGGCCAGGAGACCAGTCCTCCTTCCCAGGGCCGCCCCCGCCCCCCGTCAGCAGCCGGAGAGGCTGTCGCCATGGCAACGCCCCCTCCTCGGGGCCAGCGCGGCAGGCTCCCTCCAGGTGCAGGCCCCGACGTCTCCCTCGGCCTCAGGTGGCGCTCAGGACAGTTGACTGCGGCGGGCAGGCCCGCGCCGACTGCGGTGCGGGCCAGGCAGAGGCAGGGCCAGCTCTGCCCGCTCCCCACTGCCCGTTCCCGGCCGCCTTAACAGCAGCAGCCAGCACCACGAGTCCACAACACACCGACTCACCTCCGCGCACTCTGACCCCGACCGACGCGACGGACGGGCAGCCGCAGTAGCCAACCGCTGAGCCCGTTGCCCGTCCCTCTGGCCAATGGGCTGCAAGGAGGCGGGGCTTCTTCCCCCGAAAGGCTTGCGCTTCCGCCGACATGCGCGCTGTGGCGTGTCAAGATGGCGGTTGCTGGCGATGGGCCTTCTGGGACGTGTAGTTTCGAGAAGACACGTACTCAGAAGAGAAGGGGAGGGTCACTTCTGAGCAGTGAAAAGGGAATTTTCTTTTTTAAAAAAAAAAGAGAGAGAACTTCCTCAGGCCTAGGGCGACCGGATGCTCCACTTTCTTTTCCCTCCTTCAGTATATGCACACGGTGAGTATGGGTTTAGGTGATAGTGACTTTAGGCGACACCTCGTGACTCATTCGTTCAACAAATAATCATTTTATCTACTCCCTGTTGTGGGTTTGAGGGATATCTGGGAAGAGGAGAGACGAATTAGGCTAAGAAGAAAATACTTAAATTCTGGAAGTGCCTTTCTAAGGAAGAACTAACTTGTTCAGGGCCCTTCAGAGAAACTTGAGGGTTAAAAGGATTACAGCCACAGCTGTGGGGGGCTGTCACCTTCTCTAGGCAGCTGGGAAGAACTCACGCCTAAAGCCATAGATGTGTTTCTCCATCTTGGTTATGCCTGTCTGGCAAGTCATGGATACCATGGTGTGAGCTAGGAAATTTCATTCTCAGTCAAGCCACTGATGGTTTTGACAGCCTCTCAGTCAGTCAGACCCATCTTATCAGCCAGCTTCAATTGCCAAGCTTGTCTGTCTGCCACCTGCATGTTTTCACTTAAGACAGCTCTGGACCCTGCCACCTCTGAGATCTTAACATAATGGTTCCTGCCTGAGCTGGAAATGGCTAGTAATCCTCATGTCAAGGAATGCTTTTTTTTTAATCTCATTCACATAATGGGTTAGGTGATTCTACTGTGCACCTGAAGAATTGATCACAGTGTTTTACAATTGTCGATTTCCTTGCCATCTCTCCCCCAGGATTTTAGATTCATTTAAGACAGGTATTTCCATATTGTTCATGCCATATCAGTTATTCCTAGTATGATGTCAGGCATAGAGCAGATACTGGATAAAATGTGACAAATGAGGGAATAAACGGCAGCAGGGACAGATGTCACTCATCCCAAAGTCAGGAAAATGGAGGCCTCTGCCTATCTCCCAGTTCTTGGAACTGGACCTGAGGTTTCCTCCTCCTGTTGTTGTTAGATAAAAGCTGGGCAGGGAATAGCCACAGAAAACATAGGAGGACTCTGGCAGAGTTTATTTCTTAGGATTGCTGGTGGCTGGCAGCTCAGCTGGGGAGAGAGAGGCAACCAGCAGCCTTCTGACTGCTGAGGAAGTTCTTATAGGCAGGTTGGGGAATGTGGAAGGTGGCAAAAATAATCTTTACAGTTTCAGAGAAGTAGCTTGAACTGAGACAGCTCTTACATCAGTGGGTCTGGGTGCAGGGACCTGTTTTTCTTACAAAATTATCTGGGGAACAGCTTTGTGCTGAGACAGCTCTAAATGTAGCTGTCTGGCCAGTTCCTGTTTTGCAAGGGGGCCCTCATGGCCTGTGAGGCTTTTTTACACTGGGAGAGAGTCGTCTGTAGACCTGGACTGTAACATTCCAGCCCTTTGTGTTATAGGATTGGGGGGGTGGCATTTTCTCATCATGGCTACTTCCTGCTGGCCAAAGTTGATGTGGGGAAAGGAAGGCTGGAGTCAGTGTCCGGTCAGGCAGCGGGGATCTCCAGCTCGTGCATCTGGACAAAGTCCTCAGTGGTCGACAGACATTTATACAGATGTGGGGGAAAGGAAATAACAGTTGGTTAAAGCTGGTATGAGTTAGTTGTTGTATCCAGCCCTGAAAATATCTGAAGAGGCAAGGAGCAATGGTTAGAACCAGAGTAATAGAGAGCAGGGGGCCAAGTAAGGGCAGAAGCCAGGGAGTCAGTTCTGAAAAGATATCCCATTGGGGTGACTGCTGGTACTGGGAAGTTTTAAGTAAGAAATCCTTGGCCACCTATTGGAGGCATTTTATGTTGTGTTCAACCTTATTTGATTGGTTGACACAGTAACAGCATTCCTGGCCCAAGAAAATAATAGATCCAGGGCTCGCCTGTTCTGGAGGGCAACTTCAGCTAGGGCGGACAATTGCTGTTGTAAGATCTGGATTGACTGGGCTGTTGCTTCCACTACTGTAGTAAGTTTCTGCTTGAGGTCCTGGATCTCCTGAGAGAGGTGTTGGGCTGAGAGCAAGGTATGTCCCAGACTCTGCTGCGAATCCTGTGGCAGCTATGGATGATACCAGGCTGATTCCCACCAGGACTGCTAGAGTAGCTGACCTTTTTGCTCTGTTCCTTTTTTTTTTCCTGTGGAGAGAGAATAATGCATCTCTCCTGAGGCATATAGGGTTAATCTAGGTATGAGAACAACTGGAGTGTAGGTATCCTTGACTGGTGGGGAAATACAGGTTTATATCTTGGAGGAGCAAAGGAAAAGTAGCCCTGGGGATAGACCAGTATTGTCCCGATTGTAACATTGTGGATGGAGGAGTCGGGGTAGTTAGAGACATAAGCCTAATGTCTGGGAAGTTCAAGCCTTTGAACTCTTAAAGAAATACTGATCACTTTAATCTTTGGTTATACTTTCCTTTTGGATGTTTAAGACCATACACTTGGCCCAAATAAACCAATTTATTTTTACTCCTAAGGTCATTTGAGGATCTTTTCCTCAGGGGATACAAGGGCTTGGGAGGAGCCCCTGGTTCCTTTCTTTTACCATTTCCATCTATGTGAAGATAAGTCAAAGGTCCTGCTTGACCATAGCTGGCTTCACTTGGAAGCATGGAAGAAATGTTTCCTCTGTGTTGGCCCTCCTCTTAGCAGACTGGACACTGGTTCAAGTCCATCTGGTGAGGTCTCCATGGCCTCCCTGAACAAGAGGACAGGTGACTCATCACAGTTATAGGACATTCTGAGAGATGCTCCATAGTCCCCGGGAACTTAGTTGACCTAGGAGGGCAAGGAACAAAAACTGTCCCTTTAAGTCCCTCTGACCAGATTAGTATAGCCCTCAAAGTCTGGCTATTAAACACCCAAGAAGGTTAGTTACACCAATCTGGTACTTTTAATTACCATGTGCTATGCAGATAACACTTGGGCTTAGGCAAAACCCATTTTTAGATAAACTTTTACTAGACATCCTTAAACTAGTTGTCTAAACTATGACCTTATCCTGGGGATACTAAGCAAGGCTTACCCCCTTCTAAGGTTTTAGTGTCAAACTAATGTTTGATTACATTAAAGTTTTCCTGGGGAACTGCTGAATTCACTGAGCTTACAGAGATGACTGAGGGGTTGCTGAGGTTTATGAGTGACCTGAGAGTATTTGGACTGGAAAGCCCTTACTGGAAAGCATGGATGTTGACTTTTTTATAACGTCATGGGTCAAACCCTCTTGCAGCCTTTGCCTTCCCAAGATTGTATACTATAGTCCTTTATAAATGTAGGAGATCATTTGCAATTTGGGCAGAATTACATACAGATGGCTGAGAAGAATGGCTGAATACTCAGATGAGGGTCCAATGACCCTGCTTACCCCTCCTTTAATGAAGGAACATAACTGTCAGCAGGCCCAACTGTGATGATTTTTAGTAAGGAGACACAGCTGAAGTCATGAAGATGACAGTTAAATATTTGACTTAGGAGTGATGTGCAGCATCATCTTATAAAAGAACATGGAATCTAAATAATACACATAAATAATGTAATTAAGTTAATATTATCCATTTACACACTGTGCTTTATAAATTTCCAGATAAACCTTATAGAAAACATAAAACCATTAATAATTTTTGTTATTTTATGTGGTTTAGAGAATGGTTTACTAAAAACTTGCTTTAGGTTTTGACGAAATATAAACACTGGGTAGAGAAAAGCAATTGCTACATTAAAACATTATCAAATTGAAGTTCACAACCTCTAGTATAATAACTTAAGAAAAACTGTGTTACGACCCTCCTCAGACTTAAATAAATTTTAAATCTCTTAAAATGTTGAAATGTAGGTTTTTGTGTTTGGCCAGACAGAATCATTGTTTAGTTTGTATTGTGGCCAGGCCGTGATGCATAAGAACTTTAAGCATTTTGGTTAGATGGTGTCTGAAAGTCCTAGCTGTTTTAGAGATTTGAGAAGGCAAGTCAAGGGAGTGAGAGCCTCAGGCTTAGACTGAGAGGTTCCCATAGAGACAGATTAAATAGGCAGCAATAAGAAAATGGATGAGAAACTGAGTAAATAGGTAGAAGGAGATGATGAGGATTCTCTCACCCCAAGAGGTGGAACTGGGGACACCAATGAGGATGCCCGGTAGAAAGGTGACAGAAACAAAGAATAGAGAGCAGGAGGAAGAAGGAGAAGGGGATACATGAACTGTTGGTCGTGTAGAAAGGCATCCCCTTCTGTCGGAGGCCCGAGGAGTGGTCCCAGTCTACTGGAGGTAGTATCCTACAAACACCAGGGAGGTATGTTCACCAGAGAGGGGACAGAGCATGTTCCTGTCCTGGACAGGCAGGGTGTGTTCCTTCCCCAGAAACAGTGTCCTAGGACCAGTAGAAGGAATGAGTTTTTCAGCACACCAGTGTGTCTTTCGGACTCAGTTTGAAAAACTCAACCAACAGTGAGTGTGGCTTGACCAGGCCTTAGAGGAAGACAGAGCACAAGAAAAGGGGTGGGAAGAGAGACATGGAGAGTAAGAAAGAAGGGGAATGGGAGAGGCAAGAGGAGAGAGAGAGAGAGAGAGAGAGAGAGAGAGAGAGAGAGAGAGAGAGAGAGAGAGAGAGAGAGAGAGAGAGAGAGAGAGATTTTGAGAGCAATGGGTGGGGAATGAGGAAAGATGGAGAGAGAGGTACTTAAAATTAATTTATATATTTTAGTACTAGGAACCATGGTGTGGATAAGGATTAAAGAGAGAATATTTTGACCTGAAAAAACATTTTTGTGTTAATTTAATATTTTTAGTCTGTATGAAACCTCAGTTAAGAGTCAATATGATACCAAGTAAATTAATTTTAAATGTATTTTATTTTATTATTTTCATTTTATGCATATAAGTGTATTGCCTGCATGTAAGTGAGTGCACCCGTGTCGTGCAATGACCACGGAGGACAGAAAAGGCTGTTGGATCTCCTGGAACTGGAGTTATAGACAGTTGTTAGTTGCCATGTGGGTGCTGGGATTCGAACCAGTGACACAAACAGTACATGAAAACAATTATCATAGACACAGATACCATAATCACATGAAATTATAAACACCAAAGAG